TAACTAATGATTTTTAAACATTAAGAAAAGACTTACTTGTACAATTAGGCAAAGTTCCAGACCATGTTCCATTGGCTGTGCACTGTCTAACTGAAGGTCCAGAAAGGATATATCCCTCCGTACAGGAATAAATAACGGAACTAGAAAATGTTGTGCCATCGATTCGAAAGACTTTCCCATTGGCTGTTGTCCCTGGGTTACCGCACTGTACAGCTATAAAGCAAAAATGTTTAAGAGTATATATAAAAATAATGCAGTTAGAAATCCTTTCACAAAAAGTTAGCAACTAAACAATTCTTTCAAATTATCCAAAGAATCAATAAAAATCTCTAAAATAGTGAACTGTTTAAGTAGTTGAAATTCAAAATGAATTTATGCTGATTTTATTAGCTTAATTACTGTATGAAAATCATATTACAGATACTATTTAAGACTTTTGTTAGTAGCTTCAGTAAAAAAAAGTAATTACTCAAAGAGTACTGTATTGCCTTCAGGTATCACAAAATCTTCCAGAGAAGGATTATAAAAATCTCTGGCAAAAAGGAAATCATGTAAAATTGGAGGATATGTAACAATAATGAGATTCAATAGAGATTTATTATATTTATACTTCTAAAGGGACAAATATATAGTATATAATTTAAATATTATAAGCATCCATGCACATTATTATTTATATACCTGATTTACATTAAAATTTATTTCTAGATCAAGGAGTATCAAAAATAAAATGAGGAAAACAAAGTAACTAAATTCTAGCAATGGGTTTTTATTCAGTTTTCAACATATCCTAAACAGATATCACAAACACAAATGCCTTTTTATCATTAACTATTATATATCATGTTTAACTGTTTGCCATCAATGCCATAAGTGAATTTTTTTATATCTTAAAAGCAATCCTATATCAAACGAAATACCAAATTTTGTTGTAATATTGTTAGAGTGGGAGACTTAGGAGACAGGGTCGAGACCACATTCAGCGGCTTGGAGATCGGGTGCAAGTGTTAAAGTAAACAACCTTAAACAAAAGAGGGCTGATAATCATAGGCAAGAACCAGCTTCAACTGGCTTGTCAGCTACCTCGGTCACCTTACATGAACTTTGGCTAATTATAATATCATTTACATTGTGGTATTAAAATTTCTCCACCCTTGAAATCACCAAGACAACCATATAAAGTATGGAAATGAGA